TTGGACTTTGCCATGTTTTTGTTAAAGTCATTTCACTTTTAAAACCCAACAACAACAACAAAAATGGAAATCCCTACTGAAGTGTACATTAGTGGTATATACAAGTAAGTATTATGCAGCAATTAAAATTATGTTTGCAAAAAATATTTTGGATAGAAAGTGCTCAAGTTAAGTGAAAAGCAAAACACATAAACAGTGTGTTTGTAGAATATTACCAATTTTGCTTAAAACACTCATGTATACACACATATAGACATGTACACACATTTCAACCCGTAGAAACAAGACTAGAAAGAATCCAATGAACATGGTTAAGATGGTTAGAATGTGAGTGTTCTTTTTTCCTTTTTTATACTCTTCCAAATTTCTTACAATGAAGATGCATTTTTATAATAAAAATTGTATTATAATGTATTTATAACCAGCATCCTGAGAAAAAAAGAAATGTAAATGGTTAATCTGTATACTTATTGGTGAAACTTGGGCTTTTGAAGACTACCATAAGAGAACGGCAAATTAGCATAGACTCCTAGAGGTGGGGCTCACAGGACTCCAACAGTAACACTCTGATGTAAGAGGAGCGAGGCCACAGGACATTTCCTAGCTTCTCCTGTGGGCAGAAACCACATCTTCACCCAGGAGAGTCCCAGGGCCCTGGGCTTTGCTCTAGAACACTGGGGTTCTTCAGAGAGAAACGCTCTTGTCCACAACACTCTGTCTCAAGTTTTCAAAAAGGAGTGTAATATAATTAAATGTACATGTCTTCACTGTATATGAGAGCAAGAGATAGGGCCATCCATTGGGAATCCAATAAATTAGAATGAAGATGGGGGGCAAAGTCCTTTCCTGCCTCACAGATGGTTATATAGATGGAAGCAGAAAGGCATTTCAGTGGGAGGAGCCCATGGGTGATACCCAGAAAAAAGAACTTAGTGGCCAGATAAGTGCTAAGCTGCTAATGTGGCTCAGAGGAGACATATGTAATACTGTAAACAATAAATATTTTAAATTAAAAAATTTAGAGATAAAAAATGATTTCCACATCAGTCAAATGAGGGCTTTGACATGAATGAAGGCCGTTATGGGAAATAAAGGAGGCATCTCTGAGTCTTCCTGTGCAAAATTCGATCCTAGCCCAAGATCTGCCCCGGGGCTGGCCTTAGACTATGAGCTCCCTGTGTCTATGGGGAATCTCTGTTCATGGTGTCCAGAATCTACTGGCAGAGGGCAGGGGTCCCATGCAGTGTTGGCAGGGCCAGGCCCTACACATCCAGCATCCCCTGAGCCAGGCACACTCAGCTTGGAGAGTGTTGGGTGAAACACCCTGAGCAGACAGCTGACATTTTGCTAAGGGTCAAGACTGGAGAGAAATACTCCCAGGTACCTGGTTCCACAGGACGGAAGAAACATCCCTTTGATAGTGACCTGATGTCCATACTGGAGGCCCTCTGGTATGGCCCTAGAGAAGGGGACGACCTGCAGGGAGAAGAAGGCAGTCAGTTAGGGCCCTGCTCCTTCCGTCCGTTCCCTCTGGCACTTGCTAGCGAGGCTGGTGTGTCGGGCAACATGCCAGGGGCCAGATTCAGGTGTAAATTGGGCATATGGAGTCTCAGTCTAGTGGAACTTCCCACCTGTGAGGAAGCTATTAGGTCTAAATCACAGTTCTAAGTGCTTTTTAAGATGCAACAATTAACCAGAGAAAAAAAATCTTATTTTCACAGAACCTGCAGTTTCTTAGACACAAACCCTAAATTATTTTAATACAATCCAGAAAATAATTAAAAACTGCAAAGCCCTGGTTGGGTTTTTGTTTGTTTGTTTGTTTTATCCTCACACAATGATACGTTTTTTGATTTTAGAGAGGAAAGGAGTGAGAGATAGAGATAGATGGAGATGGAGATGGAGATGGAGATGGAGATGGAGATGGAGATGGAGATGGAGATGGAGATGGAGATGGAGATGGAGATGGAGATGGAGATAGAGAGATCCCTTGCCTCCAAATGCACCCGGATAGAGGACCAATCCCGAAACCTTCCGGTGATCAGGATGACACTTCAACCAATGGAGCCACCGGCCAGGGCACCAAGGCCCTGTTTGAACTCTCTGCTGCCCCTGCAGGATTTCCCTGATTTGTACAATTACTAGTAGCTTTTGAACCCAAGGATAGAAAAGTACAAACCAGTCACCATGATAAGAAAGTGTCAGGGCCTAGAAGGAAATCTGGGATCCCCCGTCTTACAGACAATGAGCCTAAGGTGACACTTCTGAC